GTAATCACACTATGACATGTAGTAATACTAGCTAGACAGACAAACAGACAAACAGATAGATAGGTAGATTGATGTGTATAAATATATATATATGTGTGTGTGTGTATGTATGTATGTATGTATGTATGTATGTAAGTATGTATGTATGTAAGTATGTATGTATGTATGTATGTATGTACGTATGTATGTATGCATGTATGCATGTATGCATGTATGCATCTATGCATCTATGCATCTATGCATCTATGCATCTATGCATCTATGCATCTATGCATCTATGCATCTATGCATCTATGCATCTATGCATCTATGCATCTATGCATCTATGCATCTATGCATCTATGCATCTATGCATCTATCTATCTATCTATCTATCTATCTATTTATCTATCTATCTATGTATCTATGTACGTATCTATGTATGTATCTATGTATGTATCTATGTATCTATGTATGTATCTATGTATGTATCTATGTATGTATCTATGTATCTATCTATCTACTAGCGAAGGGTTTAAGTCACATCAGTTGGGCAGAAGTCACATCAACCCCATGTAACAGCGAGTTGGAAGAAAGTCACATCAACTGGGCAAAAGTCACATCAAAATATCAAAATCCCAATGGCACACCGGCTTTCAAGGAATGTTGTTATATCTCCAAACATGAAGAAAACATTGCGCACACTGAGGTATTCACATATGTTTAAACTATGTTTTCAAAGGATATATTTAGGAATCACCATGGCACACGGCCTCCCAGATCTTTAACTTCGTTTCCTAACAAACATAGATTTCCATGTAATAGCTATGGGCAACATCATCATATCAACAACGTTAAAATCTGAAAACCCAGTGGCACACCGCTGTCAACATCCGCTTCCGCTTGAATGTTTCATAAGTTCTGCCTTCTGTAAACATTCCCTCTCTCTGCTGGCGTCTCCCGCCCGTATCTCCCGCCAGCGCCAAACAAGGCGACCGAGACTGTAATTTTCTTTTTCGGCAAAATGTTTGCACCAGCGGCAGCAGCAGCAGGAGGAAGCAGCAGCAGCAGGAGGAGGAGGAAGCAGCAGCAGGAGGAGGAGGAAGCAGCAGCAGCAAGAGGCAGCAGCAGCAGCAGGAGGCAGCAGCAGCAGCAGGAGGCAGCAGCAGCAGCAGCAGGAGGAAGCAGCAGCAGCAGGCGGAAGCAGCAGCAGCAGCAGGAGGCAGCAGCAGCAGCAGGAGGCAGCAGCAGGAGGCAGCAGCAGCAGCAGAAGGAAGCCGCAGCCGCAGCAGCAGCAGGAGACAGCAGCAACAGCAGCAGGAGGCAGCAGCAACAGCAACAGCAGCAGCAGCAGGAGGCAGCAGCAAGGAGCAGCAAGCAAGCAGCAAGCAAGCAGCAAGCAAGCAGAAAGCAAGCAGAAAGCAGCAACCAGCGTTTGCCCCGTTGAAAGAATAATGAAATATAATATAAGTGTTATAAATCAACGCAATACAAAAATTGATCTTTTTCTAGGCGCACGGCCCCAAAACAATGAAATCGTCCAATTACTAAAAGTTGTGGTGATGCCAAACTTGAACTTTTTCCAGGCGCACGGCCTCCCGATACAACTTCTACGAGCTGATACGACTTAACGCTAGGGCTAGTAGGGTCAAATAGAATCATGTCAACAAAACATTGCGCACAGCGATGAAAAAGTGTTCGAATCAATAACCCATCAAATAAAGAACTATCAAAATCTATACGAAACACTGCGCGCACGCAGGTGTGATACGACTTCAGGTCGATTGATACGACTTAAGCCTAGTGGTAGTATGTATCTATGTATCTATGTATCTATGTATGTATGTATGTATGTATGTATGTATGTATGTATGTATGCATTTAATTACTGTATATGCACATATATATATATATATAGTTACAAAATTATATATATATATACTTTTGAATAAGATATGTGGACGAACTCTTCGTTTGACAAGCTGCAGCAGCTATGACGCAGCCTAGGTTCTCCGATGCTGAAAAGCAGGTCCACGGCATCCTGCCAAGCAGCTATTCGACCTGAAGGCAAGACTGCAACATCAGCAATGATGCAGGTTTGGAGGGTTCGGGTTTGATCAAATGCCCTCCGATTCCCACATCGAACATGATCAAATTGGGTACGGGATAGGGTCACAACCCTGGTACCTAGTGAACCCTCAAAAATGGTAAATGGACTCGACCTTCCCCGTTAGATGATGTCATAGTCACTGCCATAGTCCGGCCGTGGATTGACCCATCCATCCATGTATCAAAGGTGCTGAGAGCAGACAGGACTGCAGTGCTGCAACGCAGCTTGTCCACACTTTGATCAGCCGCTTGCAACAACTGGCGGGCCCGTCGCACTGCGCGTCGCTCGCAGAGATCCACCAAGACATGGCGAGAAGGAGACCACGGCGACGTCTGCGACATGCAAATCCTGCAAGTAATGCCAGATGCTTTTGAAAAAATAAAAACATGTGAAGCCATGTGAAGCCATGTGAAACCTGCCCATGGGACACCAAGATCTGCCATTTGACCATCCATGACCATCCCTCTGAGGCCGCCTCCCGTTCCAATCTTCACATCATCCCGTCCTGAGGTCCAGGGACGCACATCGCCGCTCGATGTGCCTGGCAAAACGGACTTTCAAAGGGACCACTTCGAAAACACCAACAAAATCCGACAAATGTCATGAAGACTTGTTTCAACCTGATTGTGATATGTATATATATATATGATATCCGGTTAAATTTTTTGTATGCATCATTATGCCAACTGCGCCAGAATGCCGGCCTGCTGGCATTCCGGTCACCTCGCCATTCGGATCTCAGCACCCAGCTGCCACCATGGCTCCGCCCTCCGCCCTGTCGGCCAAGCGCCAGCGACACAACGACTGGATAAATTCGATGGTCTCGCCATGTCTCGCCATATCTCGCCACGGCTGCAACGGCACCTTTTTGTCAAACCTCTGCCGTAAGGATGGTGGCTTTGCAACACATTGCAACAACATTGTAACATATCCGTCAACTCCTAAGATCAGTACAGTTCAAGATCACACCAGCACGCAGGTATACGCAGGTCGCTTCTGCAGGCGGCACCACCAGATTCCTGGTTTTCTAGGGGCATGAGAGCACCTTTATAATGTTGGGGCCTTTAGGGATTCAGGTGAAGATCTCTTGGGTGGTAAAAATCATGACTGTGTGTATTGGCAGGACGACCATGGACTTTGATGATGATTGTGACCATACTTTAACGCAGCATGGCCTTTTGAAGTCTTTTAAATGGCTACTGTGGCTACGGGTACTAGTGTATGGAATGCCGCTTTGAGTATCGCGTGTATTGAAATTCTCTGGAAGTGATCGGATCACATGCCGCACCTCGTCTGCAGAGCCAGGGATGAAGCACACCTTTGGACATCTGTCCATGCGCCAAGCCAGCCTGTCCAAGAGAAAATCATGTTGGTATCACGTTCCAAAGCCGAAATTCCGAACATGTTCAAAAACCAATTCTTAGACATTCTTAGACACTTTGAGATGTTTTGGGGTTCCGCCATGTTCAGTGTTGGGGTGACATTGACTGGCACCGGCACAAGGGTCATTACACAGATGCTCGGGCTCTTTTTCCAAAGATGCAAGTGGCCCACCCAGAGTCAGCCTGGTAGCCGAGCAAAGATAGCAAAGACTGAAATATTCAAACATGTTCAAACAGCACATTGAATTGAAATAAAGAATTCCAGAGCGATGGATCTGAAAGACACGGGGTTCATTGGATCTCCATTGGATCACTGATCTTCCAGCAGCTTGACCACTTCGGCGAAACCGTTCTCCCGGGCGATGTGCAAAGGAGAGGTTTCGGTGGATCCTTCGGCCGAGCATCGACATTCCAACAGGCGCCGCAGCACGTCGACGTGGCCCATCTGGGCTGCGATGTACACAGCACCGCAGCCAGAGGCGTCCTGGACACTGGGATCTGCCCGAGCCTCCAGCAGCAGCTGCAGCATCTCCAAAGAATCATGTTCCGCAGCCAGCAACAAAGGGCTCAGCTCAGAGGGCGACCTCCTGGGCACGGCGATAAAATCGGCGATATCTGGTGATATATTGTGGTATGTACGAGAATTGTACGAGTATGTGATATATTGTTGGATCATAGTAGACCAATGGGGAAATTGACTTGGAGAAGGGATGAGAAGGGCCGGATTTTTCTGATTTTGGGGTCTTGCAATGTCTTGCATGGACTGGACTCCGTTCCTTTTCCTTCGTTAGATGCTCATCCCATCAGCCCAGCCCAAGGCCCTGGATCCTGTGGTTCACCTCGGCTCTGAAGTGAAGCAACATTGTGGCAGCTGCCACATGTCCCCGCCCGGCTGCCAGGCACAATGCTTCGCCAGGATCACCATATCCACCAGCCTCCAACAGCAGCCGTAGGATGTTGGCATGGCCAAGCTCAGCTGCCATCAGCAGCGGAGTCTCCGGAGTCGGAGTCCAGGAGCCAGCTGAGCCAGCTGAGCAAGCTGAGGTCAGCATACATCTCACAATTTCGTCATGACCATTTTGCACAGCAATGCACAAGGAAGAAGCGTCACAAGGGGCACTGGAGGCATGTGCCAAAAAGAGTTTCACCACTTCTACGTGTCCACAGTGCACAGCAGTTGACATGGGACTGCGTCCGTTTACAGTCTTCAAGTCGTGGTCGGCTCGAGCTTCCAACAGCGCCCCAACCACATCGCTCCTTCCGATCTGTGCCGCCAAGAACAAGGCGGTGCAGCCGTGCTGGTCACGAACATCTGGGTCAGCACGGGCAGCCAGGAGACACCGCAGAGCTTTGAAATGACCGGTCTCCGCCGCCATATAAAGCGCCGTGCGACCCTTGCTGGTCATCTTGTTCACCTGGGCACAAGCCTCCAACAAATAAGTCACCCCCCTGAGATCACCTCGAGAAGATGAAGCCATCAAAGCAGTGTATCCATGCATGTCTGCAACATCCTTATCCGCTCCATTTCTCAGTAACAAGCACATCATTGAAAACAAGCCTCGCATCGCAGCAATCAACAAAGGCGTTTGTCCCGCCAGGTTTTCCGCATCCACGTTGGCTGTGAGCAACAGCGTCCTGGCCACCTCGACCTGTCCGGCCTCCGCCGCTCGAGACAGCGCCGTGTTCCCCAACGCGTCGCGCAGCTCGGAGTCGCAGCGCGCCCACAGCAGCTGCTGCACCACCTCCCGGTGCCCGGCTGTTGATGCGGCCAGCAGCGGCAACGCCCCAGGCGGCCCAGGCTGCCCAGGCGGCCCAGGCCGCAGATCGGCCAAGGCTTCCAGGAGTAGCTGGACCACCTCCAAGTGACCTCCGCGGCTGGCCTGAGCTCAGACAATGTCGGACATGGGGGTTAAGAATTGCAGTCACATCCAGTGGCTAGAAAATGCTCGAAACAGAAGAGTACAGAAGCACATCCGCAATCTATACATTCTATACTTACCTTTCAACTCCTTTCCTTAATTCCATTGTGTTGTCCTTGGGGTTGATCTGCTGTTCCCTCCCTCAATCGCCACTCTGTGGATGACAGAGGGGTGAGACCAACCACCGGAAAAACAAACAAAACAGAAATTGCTTCAAAAAAAATGTCCCCTCACCTTGACCATGGGAGACTCGCCAGCTGGATCAACCACATTTGGATCTTGAAACTGCTGCAGAATCTCTTGGACCTTGTCATGATCACCGGTTGAAGAAAACTCCAAGAGCTCATGACTGAGTGACTTCGTAGCCATTTGGAACGCCACCTGAAGATTCAAGGGCTGCCCCAATTGATCCCACGCTTTCCAATCTCGAATAATGTCGCCATCTTGGGACACGAGCTGTTGACAGAAGTTGGGCACCCCAGTGGCAGCACAAATCCGATCACTCAGATGCAGGAAAACCTCTTCTTCCGGAAGTTCAGTTTGAAGAATTAAGTCCCCAGTCACAGCTCAGAAAACCTGGAGAGTCGTCATGACCTGTGACTCTTTTGAATATCTGCGAGAAAAAAAAAATCCGAAGTCTTGAAGCTGAGTGTAGCTGCGGACTCGGAAAAAATGTAGAAATTCAACTAAGAATTCAATACAGAAGAGGTATTCAATAAATGTCTGAATTTCAATGATCTTCAAAATCTTCAAACGTGTCCGTCCTTTCCACCAAACACGAAACACCGAACTCTCAGATTGGCACCTGGCCGCCAACGCTCCCAAGCCCCGAGGTCGTAAGCTGACCTCACAGGGCGGGTTTTTTCCCCATTCGAATTAGCCAAAAATTCGATGCGGAACAAAAACGTCGACAATTATGCAATCCCCAAGAATGAAATATGTGCGTGTGTGTGTGTGCATATGTAAGTCTATCTATCCCTATCTATCTCTATCTATATCTATCTATTTTTATCTCTATCTCTATCTATCTCTATCTACCTCTATCTATGTCTTTTCTACCTCTATCTATGTCTATGTCTACAATATCATTTTTATCTATCTTATCTATCTTATCTATCTAATCTATCGTATCTATCGTATTTGTTGTATCTATTGTTATCTTATCTATCTTGTCTATCGTATCTATCTAATTTATCTCATATAATCTAATTGAATCGAATCAATTTGAATCTAAGCCGATCTAATCTATCTAATCTATCAAATCTAATCTAATCTATATAATCTAATCTAATCTTTCCATCCAGCCATCTATCTATCTCAACATATCATTTGAACACCGTTCATATCCTTTCATGAATTCACCGTGGACACAAAGTCGGTTGAAGGTTGGCGATTCAGTTAGCATCTTAAGATATCTTAAGAATCGGCTAACCAGACCACAGAGTCACCACACATCATCTCCCATTGGGTCAAGAGTTGGAGTAGCTGGGAGATGCTGGGAGTAGTTCAGGACGGAGGAGCTAGGTCTTGATGGGCTTTGGAAGCGGAAGTGGCATGCTTGTGATGAATGGTCATGCGATTGTTTCCAATTTATTGTGTGCAGGTAAAAACCTATTCACCCAGGACCCCTGGCATCAAACAATCGGAGAAAATAAAGCAAACCAACACCTTCGGCAAATTGTGGCAACAGTGAGCTCCCAGAAACCCAAGCATCATAGCTATGTGATGCTATGTGTGCACCGTTTTCCTTCGCAAATGGGATCAACGTTGCCTCTTTCTGGAAATCTGCCTGAATAAAGGCAGGGTTCAAGCCAAAGTCACGTAGAGTCTTTCAGAACTCGCCTTCGCTTAGGCTTTAACAAGCGAATTGCTTCCATATTCCCTGCTCTTGCAGCTAAGCTGAAGGGTGTTGCACCATGAAGGGTCTTTGCTTTTTTATCTGCACCATGTTCCAGAAGCAAACGCACCACATTGGGATGTCCCTTCTGCGCGGCCACGTGCAACGCGGTACACCCGGTGTCCGTGGCCTTCCGATGATCGGCGCCATTCCGCAGCAAGAATTCCGCCACCTCCAAGCGACCTTCCTGCACTGCAGCGTGTAACGGTGTAGCACCTCGGTTGGGCGTCCGTTGATCCCGGTTCTCCACGTCCAAGAGAAGTTGCACCATCTCCAAGTGCCCGGCATGAGCTGCGATATGTAGAGGCGTCACAGAGCGTGTGCACACTGTGAGCTCAGAATGGCGATCCAAATCCAACAACAATTTGGCCACTCCCAGGTGCCCTTCATGCGCTGCCACGTGTAAAGGTGACAGGCCATCTGGGGTGGAGATATATGCCGCCCGGACCGAAAGCAGTAGGCGCACCACTTCCATGTGACCCACGTTGGCAGCAGAATGCAAAGGTGTCTGGCCTTGGGTGCATCCTAAATCGCCTAAATTCCCCTCAGTTCCCATTACTAAACCTGTTCCATCAACCCCTCTAAGGTCTCTAAGAACAAAGAACGACGTAACTTATGGATGCCAACATAAAACACATTAAACGAAAGGGATCGGGAGGTTCGAAATCGGAAGACTGAGCAACCAGACTAATACTTAGACTTCTAGTGATTCCCCAGCTTTCCCTTTTTTTCAGCATTGAACCAGTCCAAAGTGGCCATTGCTCAGCGTCTTGTCTTTGTTTGCGCCGGCTGCGAGCAGCAACTGAATCACTTCCAGTGAGCCGCGGTGACATGCCAAATGCAAAGGTGTGAAGCCTTCATCAAAGGTGGCTTTATCTTTGTCTGCACCTGCCTGAGCGAAGCTGCAAAGCATTGCAAAGCCCACAGCTCAGATTCTGTTGGAAGTAGAGCAGTAGCACTTCCAAACATGTACACTACATTTAACATTGCCAATCTTAGATACCCTAAGAACGGATTGGTGAGTTGATTCGTATTTCAATGATGTTCTTTATGTATTTCATGGGTTCTGACCCCCATATTCCCATATATTCCCATATGTTCCCATATATTCCATCATCACCTGCTGCGCACCTGCAGTAAGCTTCGCACCACTTCCACATGGCCTTGCAGTGAGGCCACGTGCAGAGGGGTAGTGCCTTCCCGCGTCGAAGTGTCTTTTTCGGCCCCGACGTCCAGAAGGGCTTTGACCACCTTCAGGGGGGTCATGGAATGGAGGGGTTGATAGAAGATATGGAAGTTGGCCCAGTTGACTGCTTGTAATATTGACTCAAGTGACCAATGCAAATGCTTGGTTATTATATATCATATTATGATAGTCAACGAGTGAATGAATTAGACAATGTATGGCAATATTGTAGTCAATGTCAATCAATGGATAGGGGTTGCTTGATATTGTTCAATTTTGGCCAATGTCAGGGTGATTGAGGGAGAAGTGGTTATCAAGCGTCGTGGACCGTTTCGAAGAGTGAACGGAAGGGGTAGAGTTGGCATGCTGGCATGCTGAACAACTGCAGCCCCAACATCAACTGACGCATGTTATTCCCGAGATTTTCATGCGATCCTCCAAATGACCATTGCGAGTCGCCAAGTGCAAAGGAGTGTAGTCTATCTCGAGTGTGACATCCTTATCAGCCTTGGCTTCCAGTAGCAGCTGGAGTGATTGCAAAAAACCATCCTCTGCGGCAATATGCAGTGCTCCTCTTCCGTTGCCAAAGGTGTTGGGATTTTGAGGTAACTGCAGCATCTCTTCAACCTTCTCCTTGATTTCTCGAAAAACGACACACATAACAGCACTGAATACAGTACGTGGTGGCAGCTGAAGCAGCAAACGGACCAGTTCATGGTGTTCCGTTTTTCTCTAACCTCCAACCAGGAGATATCTAGGGACAGAAGCCAACAATGAAAGGACACCAAAATGTCAAGGTGAAGAACCAAGAAGAAAATGACAGCCAAGGCTCCACCCGATTCTCAGCGCAGGCAGCCAGGAATTCCTGGTCTCGTTCTCTTTCCGAAGGCAGAAACTCCAACAGCACCAGCTGAAGCTGTGCCGGCAGCGACAACTGCGACAGCGACGTTGCATCACTTAGGAGGTCACGGTCCAAAAGACGTTGCCTGGAGACCAAAAGGATGCCGCACGGATTCAAAAGGTTGGACATGGAAACCATGGGAAACCAATCTGTCTGTATATATTATTACCCACAGACACCGTGTGTTGCCCAGACCCACAACCGACACGTTAGATGTTGTTTGATGATGATGATGATGATGATGATGATGCTGATGCTGGTGATGATGATGATGATGATGATGATATTATTATCGGCAACACGCGGTGGCTGTGGGCTATTTCTAAGATATGGAAGATATGGGATCTAACATCTAAGATATCTTCATACCATCATGAGGTATTAGAATTCCGCCGCCCCCTTGAACTCTATATTGATATGGAATCTAACATGTAAGATAGCTTCATATCATCATGAGGTAGTAAAATCCGCCACTCCCTTGAACTCTATATTGATATGGGATCTAACATGTAAGATATCTTCATATCATCATGAGGTAGTAAAATCCGCCACTCCCTTGAACTCTATATTGATATGGGATCTAACATGTAAGACATCTTCATATCATCATGAGGTAGTAAAATCCGCCACCCCCTTGAACTCTATATTGATATGGAATCTAACATGTAAGATATCTTCATATCATCATGAGGTAGTAAAATCCGCCACCCCCTTGAACTCTATATTGATATGGGATCTAACATGTAAGATATCTTCATATCATCATGAGGTATTAAAATCCGCCACCCCCTTGAACTCTATATTGATATGGGATCTAACATGTAAGATATATTCATATCATCATGAGGTATTAAAATCCGCCACCCCCTTGAACTACAATTAACTGATCGCTCCAATTCAGAGGTTTCAAAAAGACAGCAGGTCTGGAATTTCTGCTTTGTGACTCAACATGTTCATCTTCATCACCATCATCATCATCATCGTCATCATCATCATAATCGGCATCATCATCATCGTCATTATCATCATCATCATCATCATCATCATCATCATCATCATCATCATCATCAAGATCAAGATCAAGATCAAGATCAACATGCCGGGAACGTCCTTGTAAATCTCCGGGCAACACAAGGCGTCTGGCCGTATTATTATATAATGATAATGGATTATACTGGATGTTCTGCAGGATATCTGGAGTTCCAGCATAACCAGCTTTTAGTTCAAGATGATGAAGTGGTCGGAACGCATGATCATCCATCCCTCTGGCTTACCAAAACAAGCGACAACATGTAAGGAAGAAAGAGGTGAAGTCGGTTGAGTCCCAAAGAGGTTAAGTCGGTTCATCACATGTCACTGGCGACAGAGCCAACTGAGCCAACTCATGTCTGCGACCCAGCCTAAATCTCGGATAGCCAAGTCGAGTGGTCAGAAATCTCTTGAGTGTTTTCCTCAAAAGTGTCCAATCTTCAAAGTACTTGGAAAGGTAAACCTGGAAAAGACGAACAACAGGTACTCAGCTTACCATGTTTCACCATTCTGCTAAATTATGTTTCAAAAAATGATTCATTCATCCAGAGAAAAAAATAAACAAAATCAAACTGTCACAGGGCGTCACATCGTTCCGTGAATCCTGCTCCAAGTCCTCCAGTTTCAGCGTCACCAGCTCTTCCCCCGAAGTTGCGGAGCACACCACGATCTCCGCCATGGCGCCCACGGGCCAACGGGCCAACGGCCCAACGGGACGACGGGACGATACCCTGAGAAAATGCAGCAAAGTGAGGACCAAAATGCCGAAAAAAATCTTGGATCAACAGGAAGACACTCTGAAAACCACATATCAAAGGAAAATCATGGAAAACCAATATCCCAAAATCAGCCCAATCGACTGCCCAGCCAGCTGTGCCTGTTGCTTTCAATGCTTCCAGGCGGTTCTGCGAGGCTTCCTTCAACAAAGATAACAAAGTCTCACCCGGTGACGGACACCCTTTGGGGTTCACTCTGGCTTCCCAAATGTCCAATTCAAAAATGATTTGGTGATGAGGATATATAAGTCATCTTTCCATGGCAAGCTCCACCTGAACAAGCCTCCAGCCCAAACGCGATGAGGCGCCTGAGGCCAACTTTGCTTCGGTGCCCATTTTCGACTGAACTTCTCGTATGATCCCGGGGATCACCCAAAGGACAGGACGGATTCTCCCTGCGAGGAGACCCCATCTGCCAGGGCGGCAGTGTATTTCACCTCGGGCATCCTTGCCCAATGTGAAAATCACTGCTGCCCATGTGGATTGGGTCGCAGGGAGGGCCATGTCAGGCACCAGGACGCGAGATCAAAAGCAGACATCGTGACATTCGCATGCTGCAACAGTCCGTTGCGGTGCACGAACCGCATTCCAACTTGCAGAGGCTCATAGAATCTCATAGAACCTCAGCAACTGGAGGCATGAGCGCGCTTGAACAAGGTTGTGGCGGTCCCGCGACCCAGCAAGTCAGCATCAGATGCAAGCTCTGGACAACGCGACGTGAGGCCAAGAGTCCTGTAGCTCGCGGCGGCTGAAGTCACCCCACGGCAAGACTGTTCACAACATGCCCTCACCTCGGCAAGGAACCACTGAAACTCCAAAGACATAAGAGCAGCTGATATTGCCAGCTATTCTTGCAGGCAGTTTGGCATTCTTGCAATTGCACATGACTGTTCCACCACCAAGCTTATCACACTTTACCAGATTATATCAGATTATGACAGCCTTTTAAAGCATCAGAACAAGGAGCCAAACATAGCCACAGCACCGACAGAAGTCTGGCCTCAGCTCCATGGCCACAGTTTGCTGCATCTCCTCCATCTCCAGCAGCCCAGCGGTGCCAACGGCGGCTGCCCAGTGCTTCGGGCGACAGCTTCGGGACACAACTTCCAGGCCTCGCGGGGAAAGCGGTCACATGTTGACACCTTTCCGGGGCTCGAAATTTTGAAAGTCAAAACCACTACTGAGTGGGCTTCATTCCATGAAGTTCCCCTTCCCTACATTGCACCTCTGTCGCCAAGTTGCATGCATGAGTAGGCGTGACTCCGGCCAGCGACATCATGCCTCAGCTAAACACCACCAGTTACACACCAGACCAACTCACCCCACCACATCCAAACCGCAACGAAGCTGCGAAGGAGCTCCAAAGCCAACTGCCATTGCCGGGCCTGACATCTGGTGAAGCTCTCACACGCAGCAAACCATCCCAAGCAGTAAGTCAGCAATACCATAGGTCCATAGATCGGTCAAAGCCCTGATTCAATGGCATTTTCAGATATTTTCAGTGCAGTTTCCATATCTTCCCACTTTGAATCACTTTGAATCTTTGATGAGACTCACAAGTTGATCAAAGTTGACCAAAGTTGACCAACACCTCAGCCACGGAGTTGATGGCAATTTTGCAGCCCACTGGATCTACCGGATCGGTGGATCTGGAGGGCCTCGAGAGATGGTACTGCGCTTCCTGGAAGATTGGGGATATCATGAGATATCATGAGATATCTATATCATTCTATATCTATATAGTCTATATTTATCTATCATAGATTATCACAGATTGTCAGATATCATCGATTTTGGGGGAATAGTTCCATTAACATCATAGATTGTCGTATCTTTTCTTGGGCCCGAAAACTTTTCCACAAAAATGGACATGCATCTTGAGAAACCACAACTCAGGAGGGCTCATAGCGACAAGTGCGTTGGACCACCTGCCCAAAGCTGCCTTGGTGCCACAGAGCCACGGCGTTGATCCATGTTGATATGTTGAACCTATGGCACCAGAACCGATGTAGAGAATACCTGGGAGGTACCGCAGCATAGTGTCAGTGATGCTTGGTTCTAGTATGGTTCTAGTAGCTCAGATGCTTCAATAATGTCGTGGCATTTGCTTGCATTGAAAGGACGCATGAATTCCAAAATGTTCAAAGGTTCATAGTGCAGAGGCCTCCCTCTGCGATCAACGTTGCAGCTCTTAAAACCCCAAGGCCCTAAGAGATGCGCTTCAAACAAAAACGTCAACAGCAAAGAACAAACGCCAAACTCACCATTAAAAAATGCAAGCTGTGAACATACATTGCATGCCCCAAATCCCAAAACATCACTTCCCATCTAACTGTATCTAACATCTGTTTCCCCCCATATCTTGACACTTCCGAAGCCGCACAGGTCCAGAAACGCCACCAGAGACGGCCGCATTTCGCAGCTCGCGACCACCTTCCAGGCATTGCACCATGGCAGCCGTCAGCAAAGTCAACGAAACCTCCCAGGCTGCTGGGCCACAAGCATAAGCAGCCGCACCTCAGAAATGTCCAATGCAACTGAACCAAAGCTGCATGCCTTACCATGACTTACCATGACTTACCATGACTTACAAATTGTGCGCATCCCTCAGTCTTCGGGAGGAGTCTTCCACCCCCGAATTGCTGCCGGGGATCCATAGGCCACTTGGTCAGCGACATGCACCAAGGCATCTAGCAGCTTCAAGGCCTACATCTGAAATTGCGGTACCCCATGGTACCCTTCAAATTTGATGGTTAATCAGTCAATCATCAGGTTCACTAGATCATTGTCCTTCACTTTGGGGGTATACCTACCCTGTTTTCAGACATGTCAAGAATGGAAGCCAATAGGGCTCAATAAGGAACAGCAAAGAAGGTCCATAAGTCCATAAGGTCCCAAAAAAGCCTAAGTGATCCAAGTGACCCACGAAAACGACACACTTCAAGCAAACTACACTTCCCAGTTGATCCAGTTGTCATACCTTCACTTGGCCTCCTCCCAGGCAGCACCACGGCAAGGACCCAGTGCTGCAGTCAGCGCCATGGAAGTTGGCTTCACCAATGCAGCTTGCAGCACAACCTCAGGCGCACAATGGACTGACCGGTTGACCCTGGGCAGGAATTTGGGCAGGTCCAGTGCTTTACGCTTAGGACAAGGGACAAGGTCAAGGGGGCAAAGCTATTCCAACGAACTACAGGGGAAAATTGCGGATTCCAATACATTCTCGTTCCCCAGCTAGTGTCATCCATTTTGATCCTTTTTTCCCATAGCGCCATAGCTCCGCTAAAACAAAATCTCCAGCTGCTTGTCCAGCAGCATAAGCAGCTGCCCCCGCGGGGGGCTCTCCTGCAGGTGCTCTGGTTGGCACTCATAGTATTAGGGCCGGGCCGGCGCCCAGGTGTCATATGTACTCCACCCCTGAGGACATGTCAACTGTGTAAGATCACGGAACGCATTGGTACGCCAGTGCGCCAAAAATGGCGCATAAATCCAGATCGAAGATCTGCAGTTTCGCTGAGTGGAACTGGGGCATACTGGGGCGGCCTGGCCCTAACGGGTCTCAATCCCGCGGTTCTTCGCAAAGGAGTCACTTCTGGAGCTCTTTGTGTTCCCCCTCCAGGTGTGATTCATCTCCCAAATTCGGTCCAGGCCCAGGTGAAAGTTTGAGTATGAAAATCTGGTCGATTTCAATCGATGAGAAACAAAATGGCGTCGGATTTGCCCAAAGTTCTGTGAATTTCACTTGGAGGGTAATTCAATGTAAAAGATGGAAATGTGTGAGCCCCTGCCCTTCCTTGGGGAAAAACATTTGATTCCTGGAGAATTCAATGTAAATCACATTTCTAGGACCTCCTGTCAGAACTCCCGGGCCAGGAACCTTGAAAACTAACCCGCAGCCGCTCTCCCAAACGTAAAAATGTGCAAAAAAATCTGAGGGCTGATAGTGTTCTTGTTGCAGTGACATACAGTTACACTATGTAGAACCATATGTCAGCACAATGGGAAGCACCTGTGTTGCACTTGATCTGTGGGTGAGCCGGGCTTTCGAAGGAGAAATGGCCTCTCCAATGCTTCTGTGCAATACACGAGCGCCGAGCGCAGCGTTGTGTGAGGAGCCGGGAGAAGCACAACTTGATCCAGATCCAATAGAGATTCTGATAGATTCCCATAGACTTGCATAGAAACCATAGCACCACCATAGCACCACGGTCACAATGCCATTGTTGTTTTTCCCGGTCGGGCCCAAGTACTGAAAGCTTGGGAACCAGTGACTCCTCCCCCTCGCACGTATCCTGTGCGGATTAGAGTGCTTACTCGGTTGATTCCAAGGGCATCTCAACCTCTAGGTGCAGTGTAAGTGCAGATGCATCCATTTTTTTTTGCGGAATAGTGACTGCACTGATCACGCGATGCCTGCGTGTTGCATTGACGGGATGCTGCAATGGCTGCATGTTTCATATGATGGCCCATGCCAACAATTATACAATGTGATAAATGGGGCATTACATGGCATTGTGCTAGAAATGCCCCTAAACTAGGGGTCTATACCAAGCAAATCGGATTAATTGCTGTAAGTATGTAATGTAATGTAGTGTCATGTAATGCAATGTAAAATGTTTACTATAAAGTGATACTTTTGGCTGCAGTTTAAATCGTTGTCGCGAAATGACCGCTATACAGAAAGAGTGCAGTAAGAATTTGCCAAACCCTGCAGTCAGAATTGATATGAAGTTCCCAACTGCAATTAGAATTATAAATTATAAAGAACAATGCAGTCAGAATTATATGGTTGGGAATATGGTACCCTAAGCTCAGTGCTTCCCTCCTCATCACTGGATAGAATTCAAATTTCTGCAACAAACAATCTAAGTGCTAGTCCGTCACTATGTGCATATATCATATATATAATATATGTATATAATATATTATTATTATGTTTCACATGACCCTTCGTGTGTGTGTGTGTCTGTGTCTGTGCCCCTCTTCACGTTGCCATCTGCCTGAGCAGCATGCCCAACTTGCAAAGCCACGCTGGTAAGTCTTGCCCCGGCAAGCACCAAACACAGCAGGCATGGTTGGATTAAATGCTGTGGATCCCCTCTGAACAAGTCATTATGGAATGGACTGAGGATGAAAACGGATAGACAATCCATACATGTCCCATCTGTTAAAGGCAAGCGACCAGGAACTGTCATTTCTTAAATTACTACAGAAGATCTCAGCACAGGGGCGCTTCCACTTTTGAGACGCAAACACAAGCCGATTTTGGCAAATTCGCGACAAACGAGGAAAATCTTTGGCTATGCCCCACGCGACTCACGGAATCCAGGGCATTTATGACATAGATGACTCGCCGTCATCTTTGCGAGATCAGCCGCAAATTCACCAACAGAAAAGCATTTATTGAGCGTAAATTGATTAATGATTAATACGCTGTTTTCTTTGTCAGTTTGTATGCTTGATCCTTGGAAAGCTGGAATAAACTGGCGTATTGCTAAGTAGCGGCACTAGCGATAGTGAAGTTGCAAAGGCAACTTGGAATACGGACAAACTTTTGCTACAGGCCATAGAGGCCGTAAGGAATGCAAGAAACCAAAGCAGAGCTCACACTGCTTCACGATGAGTCCTAAGCACATACAGAGCATCTTCACCATAACTCTACACCCACATCCATCCACATCCTACAACTGCGACATACTGCAAATATTCTCTTTCTGTGAGCATTCTGATATATTCAGTTGTATTTTTTTCGTCCAAGTCTCGATGGTTCTCAGACATTGCCCGTACATTTTTCCGGGCCATCATTTCTTTCTTGCCCGTGATGTCGCCCATGGATTGCTTGGAGATCGGCTTCAGAATGCCCTTCTCCTCGGCGCCATCCGCCGCTGTGAATTCATGACTCCTTTGGATTGCTTCTAGCGATCCATGAATGGTCGATCATTCCCACCGACATATGTATTCATTTATTTATGCATCGATTTATTTTTTTATCTATCTATCTATCTATCTATCTAGCTATCTATCTATCTATCTATCTTTCTATCTATCTATCTATCTATCTATCTATAGTCGAGAACTGAAACTTAGAATGACGTTTTGTTTTCCAAAATTTTCAGTGGAACACTTAGAATGAGGGCTGTTAGAATGACGTGCCAGCAACATTTTTATAATATATAGATTTAAAAAGGAAAAAGGAAAGGAAAAAGGAAAGGAAAAAGGAAAGGAAAAAGGAAAGGAAAAAGGAAAGCAAAAAGGAAAGGAAAAAGGAAAGGAAAAAGGAAAGGAAAAAGGAAAGGAAAGAAGAAAGGAAAGGAGAAAAGA